TCATTATGGACTTCGTTTGATCTCATTCTACCAACCTGCTTATGGTGTCAGGAAGACCCTGGGGAACGCAATCAGTCCTGTGTCCCCTGTCAGACATAGCCCTACAATTTTCAACATTAAACCATTGATTTGGTACATATTTCAGACATTTCGCAGTTAGTGAGGTCAGCATTGACAGTGTGAGTTGCTTGAGCTACAATGAACTACGTCATGTCAAAAAGATAGATGGCCAAGTTTCTGTTCAACGATTGTTATCCCTCTTCACTCCTTCCAACCTTCTGTGGCTTCATCCTCATTACAATTGTTTCAGATGCTCCCGCCTCCCTACCCTATTTAGCTGCTCCGAAGCAAGCATCGTCAGCTGAGCACGAGGCTCGCGGAGACTATGGAAGAGGAAGAGGCATTGGAAGCACGACTGGAAGAGTCGAGGGAGGAACTTGAGTGCTGCAAAGACGCTCTTGAGTTGTTGAAAGCGGAAAAGATCAGTTCTGCCGAGAACGAGGAGAAACTTCAAGTAAGTCCGGATTTTTTGTTTTTCACTTTTTTGTTATGTTTGCTAATAATTCATTGACTCCTGCGAACTCGATCCATTTATTCCAAACTTTCGTCTGTCTTGTGATTTCAGGCATCGTCACTTATAAAAAAAAATACTGATAAGAAAGAAAGGCAGCTGGAAACAATCATAATCACTTCTCACACCCCATTATGCAAAATTAGATATAAGTAGTAAGTATGATTTCTGTTGTCCACCTTTCTGATGTTTTGTATATTAGTTCTTTTTTCATAAATGATGGTTTATTGTTCTGACGTTGTCTGTAGTCGCAGGATAGATGGATGCTCAGCCCGGACTCATTTAGGGCCCATTCCAACAGTCTTCACTCCAAGGCAAGCCTACTTCAGTTTCCGATGAGGTCAATTCACAAACTAAATAGTTTACTTACATTAAAGATTTATAGAACCACCTATTTTAAAGTGCAATATTCATTTTGCAAAGAATTATTAAGGAATTCCCTACAACTCACCTAATCTATCCATATATTTAGTAATTTGTTCTATTAGCATCTGATTTAATTGTCTGGTGTTTAAACTTCCCTTAAGTTTATTTGTTTTCGAAAATTCGGTTTCAAAGTCAGTTTGTTATCGCCTATCTAAGCTTTTGTGCTATGGGGCTTGTTAGTGAATTTTAGTAATTGTAGCTACTTTATCAAGAATGCTAAAAAGTGTGTTATCTTCTTATTTCGACTGTCTTTTTATTATTTCGCCTCCACACCACACTATAGAGGTAACACCTTCAACCATCTAGATTTGATGTCAATAGACATGTGTGAACCATATGAATATGGAGATATGAAGGCCCAAATGTTGTGGCCTCTCTTTTGGTCGCAGTCTCCTGCCGATGTGTAGAAGCGTTCTAACCTCGTTTTTGCAACTTTCGCGTTGTTAATGGGAGCTAGTTTGACGCACTTTATCCCAAGTCCTGTGCTATCGTGGTTATCATAATTCTCAGCGTTGGACTCTGGAATTCGTACATTACCTCTTTCGTACTTGGCATCGTCTGTAAGTCTTGCCATTCTCGGCACCAATCTACGATTCGTTGAAGAGATAAGTGAAGTCATTCCCTTGACCAACTTTCTGCCGAACGATTTTGCAATACCTCCACTTTCTGTCCTGACACATCTAACTACTCCCTACCTTGGTATCTTGCTCCCGCCATATCACAACTTCTATCTTGTTTATATTGGTCTCAAATTAGGTCGCCCTGACAACACGACCGATTTGCGAAAACGAAGGTAAACCACAAAATAAAAAGGTATTTACGATATTTCACGCCAACTATATTTTGAATAAGAACTTAACTTATGCTGGGTCGCTTAGTGTGATATAAGGACGGATGAGTTAATTGCCAACTATGAAGCGAGTGTAATACCTTACTATGTCAGTGAACTTCACTCATCCTTTCTTCCTAAAAGGATCACATTTTATGCTTCGCTTGGGTCTCATCAGCATCTTCAGACGGGATTCGAAACCTCCTCAATCATCTCACACGCATTTATCCGCACAGCCACGAGTGAAAATTGTCACAGAAAAATGAAGTAAATATAAAATAAAGCCAGGTATGCCCTTAATCACACTGAGCGGGATTATTGCCAATAAGGCAAAAATCAAAGTTGTTAATAATGCTCGATGTGAGTTATCATTAAAAAAATACTCATATTCTTGAACAAAAATTACATCAAAAATGAATAATGTCTTCGATTGTTGATATCAAAAACAGGTTTGCTTTGTTTGCCCTCTTAACTTATGGTTCACCTAACTGTATGAATTATTCGAACCACATTTAACTCCTAAGGGTGCTCACGAGCCACGATTGAGGTCGAACGTTATTGCACTTTTACTCACTCAAAGGCATTGTGAATCCTACCTACTTCGTTTTTGGAAATTTACTATAATTAATTAAACCAGCTTAAGCGATCTAGGTTTATTTAAGCTTTATTCATTTGAATTAGTCTGTTTTTGTCATGTAATTCATGTTGACTTTGACGATGATGTTGACAGTAATATAACATTATCCTTGTTGTTGGTAGCTTGAACTTGCTGAAATCCTGAAGCGTTCC